GAGGGACTTTGTAGAAAACGAAGCGTTTGAGAGAGGCGGGGCATAGAGGGCCTACAATAATGTACAGTATTTGAAAAATAATGTGTTTTTTGAACATTAAAGCATGTCAACATATTCTGTTACACCAAATACACAAAATAATGATCTTTAAAAAAGCATCATATGACCCCTTTAAAAGAACTGTTTTATGTCCATCCTTGTATCATTAACTTGATATAGGATTTAGAAAGTAATTAGTAATTAATTACTTTTTTAGAGTAATTTACCCAACACTGCCTGTAATCCACTACAAGCTCACAGTTAGACATGCCTCCATTTTTGACAGCCACGCCCACATCTCAACGTCCAATCAACAACTGATGGATATAACCAAGCCCCGTCCTACATTTTTGTTCTTTTTGACAGTAATTGTACGAACTCTCGGCTCAGAAACGCAAACTCTCTCTCTGTGTGTGTCCTGCAGGAGGCGCTGTTGGTGGTGAGTGAGGATCAGTCTTTATTCGAGTGTTCATACGGAGCGCCTCATTCTAAGACGGACATGACGGCCTCCGCCGCCGGCGAATACGGCCCGAGCAAACTCAGTCCCAGAGTGCATCAGCAGGACTGGCTGGCTCCGCCCACCGGACGTGTCACCGTCAAGCTGGAGTGCGGCGCGGGAGCACAGGTGAGCGGATCCAGGTGAGACGCACCTCCAGAGCAGGAGAGAGTTTAGACCAGGGGTCGGCAGCCTACGGCACACAGAGGGATAATCAGAGATGGTCTTACTATTGGGAGATGAGAGGGTCTGTATTACTTACTATTGGAGAAAGCGTAACGGCTAACTTGGATCACGTGTGCCTTAACCCTTTCCCCGCTAGCGTTTTTGAAAAAAGTTGCCAGCCACCGCCAGCGTTTTTGCTGATGTTCACTAAAATTTCATCATGGCCTCCAGAATATTTTGTTGTATGAATATCTGAACTTGCAATACATTAAAATAAAAATCAGACCCTCTACTTTCAAACAAAAAAAATCTGTTTTATTCTAGCTTCAAGCATTGATACACTTGAATGTTGGTAGGTTTCATAAAAAAGCAACATTTTGAGCAAAAAGCTGAGAAAATCTCATTTGTATCAAACACTACATCTGGATCATATTCAGTAATATTATCAAAGCAAAGCTGCAGTAGATGGCTTCCATCAGCGCTCCCAAAGCTTCACAGGCCTTTAACACTTTCTGGATCCACATTTCACTCAGGAACATTAGGCAGGTTTCATTTATACGCGGTTAGTGTTGATGATCGCATTGTTTTTCATATGCACATGCTTACATATGAGAGCGCTGGTTTCTGCGTCTTCCTGGTCTGTGTTTTTGATCGAGTGATTCTAGACTCATTCAGGAGATACGTAATAGCGCCCCCTAGCGTTTAACAGCGAGAACACGGAAACACCGTAAATTCTGTGTTTGGCAGGGAAAGAGTTAATAACCAATCACATTACAGCCTTGACGTCATTGAATTGTTATTATTATTAAAAGTTGTGCCACACTCAGTCGCCATTTACGGATCCCACAGGAATAAATGAGAGTGCCGTAAACTGAATCCCAGCTGTCGCAAAAAGTCAGTGACTTCTCTTATAAAGCAGCATTTTTTTCATGGTAAACTCTAAAAATAGTTCAATCCAAAAGTATTGTTTAATGTAAAACATGTTGTAGATTAGCAGATAGGCTGTCGATTCATTAAATGACGAGCTGTTTCCTCTAAAAAGCTGTTTATTCAGCGTAGTGAAGCCTCTCCTCCATTGACATCCATTCAATAAAAAGGCGCTTCAGAACAGTGCAGTTTAACAGTGCTCGTCAATGTCAAAATCACTGAGATGGCCAATCAAGTCAAAGTAGGCGGAGTTTACTGTTCATTTCAGGGATTCAAAGCGTTTATGTGCACAGTGAGGAAATTCTTTCTTTGCTGTCCACAGTGAATGCCAAGACAAGTGCAAACTATGTAAAAAAATGTAATAAAATAAAAACACACACACATACATACAAACATAATAAAGTAAAACTTATACTAGATATAAAAATTATTTATACTAGAAAACAAGACAAACATACTAAGACAATCATTTTTTGCAGTGTACCTATATCCAGTGATGCAAACTACTCAACTTTTTTTCTCAATTATGGCCATTTTGAAAGAGAGAGAGAGAGAGAGAGATGGAAGTTGCCTGCGTCTGGGTCTCTCTCTACAAACAATGAAGCTGAGTTAGTTATTTAAAAAAATATGTAAATATATACATATAATGTAGTGATTCAGTATTGATAAAGTCGCGGGGCAGACAATTTTCTGAGCAGAGAGAGAGAGATGGAAGTTGCATGTGTGAATTTCCTGCGTCTGGGTCTCTCTCTACAAACAATGAAGCTGAGTTAGTTATTTAAAAAAATATGTAAATATATACATATAATGTAGTGATTCAGTATTGATAAAGTCGCGGGGCAGACAATTTTCTGAGCTCCTGAATGTTTCTGTGTGTGCGCAGCGCGATATCTCTGTCAATTTAGAAAAAAATGTCTCAGAAAATATTTGTATGATAATCAAATATAGATTTTCATCTGAACATTTAAAAATGCTTATGTACAGCATGCTTTGAAAAAAAAGGGGGGGGGGGGGTAATGGCACAGTGGTTAACCTGAAAAGTGGCACTTCATGCCCAAACGTTTGCGGAGCTCTGGTTTAGACAGACACACGTCTGCGGTGCTCCTCTGTGGCGTCTCTCCACTATCAGACTATCAGAGTGATTCGCTGGAAAGATGATGATCCAGTGATCTTCTGCCCAGAACAGTCATTGATCATCATGAAACCACCTTCAGTTTTCTCAACAAATAGGAGACAATCAGACATCAGAGACGGTGCTGTTTTAGTGTCTTTTTTTAATTTTAGTTAAACATTTAGTAGTTTTTGGTATTTTTGTCACCTTTTTTATAATTTTTTTTAAATGTATATGTAGCTTTTATAAATTTTATTTCAGTTTTAGTCATTTTAAAAGATCAAAATGAAAATGTTGAAAATGAAATATTGCTTTGGCAACTATCTGCAATATGTTTTTTAATATTTTATTTTATTTACGATAATGTTTATTAGTATCATTGAGACACTGTTATAGTTTTCATATATATTTTGATTTAGTTTTTATATTTTCCATTTTCATTTTATATAGTTTTGAATGTCTATATAGTTTTTCTTAATTTTTATTTTAATTTTATTTTAATATTTTTATTTTTTCAGATAACATTTGTTAGTAATGCTGAGATACTATATATTTTTTTAAATGATTTTTGTATGTATTTTTTGTCTAGTATTTTTTTTTTTTAATGTTTATTTCATCTAGTATTCTTTGTGCTTTTGTTTAATATTTATTTTATTTCAAGTAAGGAAGATATTTGTGTATGGTTGTAGTTTTAGTGATAATAACGCTGTTGAAGTGACTCACAGCTGATGAAGGTAATGTAAAACAAGCGCGAACTGCAGGAATCAGTGATCAGATGATCAGATTGCTCCTGCATCAGCAGCGCTGGCCGTGTTTTACAGATGCGTGCGAGTTTAGCAGCTCTTTCCGTCTCCACGAGCCCAACAGTTGGTCGACACGAGCGAACGTGTCTGAAGCCTCTGGGCTGTTGATGTGGAGTTTGAATCCCTCACATCTGTGTGCTCGTGTGAGAATCACCAGCGATGAGTGAAGAAAGATTCAGTGTTAGCATCATCTGCCGACGCTCCTCCAGTGTTCACTTTCTGCTTTTGTTTCAGTTCATTCAGGCTGAACAGTGTAACAAAGACTCGGTTTGGGGTCAGTAAGATGTGTTTGAAAGCCTCTTCTGCTCACCAAGACTGTATTTATTTGATCAAAAATACAGTAAAAATTGTAAAATATTATTCTAATCTAAAACAGCTGTTTTCTATGTGAATATCTGTTAAACTGTAATGTATTTCTGTGATGCGCAGCTGTATTTTCGAAGGTTTCTCCAGTGATGTACAGCAGCTTTATGGAGGACAAACACGCAGCGCCACCCAACTTGACCACCAGGGAGCGCAGAGTGATCGTACCTGCAGGTGACTCTTGTGTTTGTGTGATTGTGTTTGTGTCACATCACTGATGACGACAGACAGCTGCGTGTGCTTAATGGCTCGAGTCAGAGATTCTGTGTAACTTCCTGCTGAGCTGCTGATGCTCACCAACAACATCCTGTTTTCCCGCTCATGCGGCAGCACAATAGATTCACAGCTACTGCCAGACCATTTGCTGATTCATTAGTCAGTGCTTTTATCTGTCAACTAGTGGATTTATGAGTAAAGTACAGTATGAACTGGTCAGACGTTGAACTGGAATTGGAATTAAAGCAACAGTTCACCAAAAAATGATCATTCTGTTATCATTCACTCTCCCTCATGTTGTTCCAAACCTGTGTGAATTGCTTTCAAAAGAAGATATTGCTGGAAGCCATTAACTTCCATAGTAGGGGGAATATACTGTGAGAGTCAATGGGTACCATCAACTGTTTGGTTCCCAGCAGTCTTCAAACTATCTTCTTTTGTGTTCAACAGATGAAAGAAAAGGAGAGTAAATGATGAACTATCGCTTTAAAATGACAGGAAAAGGAATTTACTCACACAACAAAGTGACACAAAAATGTGTAAATAAATAAAAACGGAATTCAACCAGTAAGAAAAAGCTGTCCTGAAATATTTTTAATATTTTTGAATGAATATTTTAAGATGAAATGAATGTCGTATTATATATTGTATTATCTTTGTATTTTATTTATTTAAAAATGTAAATGTTTTATCTATATTAGTGCTGTCAGTCAATTCAAAACAATTAATTAATTAATCACAAATTTTTTCTGAAATTAATCGCGATTAACTGCGATTATTTTTACTAAATAAGTTTTTAAATATACTTTTATATTGCAATAATTTCACATGCAATTTTCGAATTAATGTAGAGACAATATAAAGACAGTATATATTTTTAATTATTGTTTAGTGGAATCTTTTTTTACGACTGAAGGCGAGTATCACTGATACCAATACTACAGATGTCCCTTTGAAATAAATAAATTAAATGAATTTAACTTAAAACAATCTTCACATAAACCCATTATAATAAATGTTATATTTACCTGTGCCCTTCAGCAAGTAGGAAATATAAAGAAATTGAATAAAGTAATCAAAAACTAAATTCTAAATTAAATATAGATGAATCCCTAAAGCTAAGTTATTGAGTTTCTTTTTTTTGTTTTGTTCTTTGACATCACAGCAGCTGGTTATTAGGCTATTTGGCTGCTATAACTTTAAGAGCTACCGCTGCTCAACGTGACGAGGATCTGACACGCATCGTAATGCCTCATAACCTTTTATATATTATTGCACTTTAATATGAAATTATATACAGTGCACCGGCGCATTTGTGCGTGCAATTGAAGAGCATGCGCTACGAGCACAGAATAAACGGGTGACAGGACAAGAAAATTCGTTTTTACTGACATATGACCAAAAAAATATCAAAATTTTGTTAGTTTTTCCTTACAACAAGCAAAAATATCTGCCAGTGGGGTAAGAAAAATTATCTTAATTCAAAAGCTAAACAAGATTATTTTTCTTGCCCCATTGGCAGATATTTTGCTTGTTTTAAGGAAAAACTAACAACATTTTGATATTTTTTTTACACAAAACAAGACATAATATCTTAAGTCAATTTACTTGTACAGTAAATGCATCTTGATTCAAGAATTTTTAGATATTTATACTAGAAAACAAGACTAAAATACTAAGTAAGAGAATAATTTTTTGCAGTGCTGTGTTCACTGCGTTAAATATTTTTTGGAAAAAAATGAATTGCATGTGTTAATATGCTAATTTTGACAGCACTAATCTATATAATAATAAGTAGCAGTAGCGGCGAGTGTAAAGCGAGTGCTGTCTGCAGATCCGAGCCTGTGGTCGGCGGATCACGTGCGTCAGTGGCTGGAATGGGCCGTGAAGGAGTACGGGCTTCCCGAGGTGGACCTGTCTCTCTTCCACAGCATCGACGGGAAGGAGCTCTGCAAGATGAGCAAAGACGATGTCCAGCGCCTGACAAGCAGCTACACGGCCGAGATCCTGCTGTCTCACCTGCACTACCTCAGAGAGAGTGAGTGTGTGTCTGCATCATCGGTTCATCACGACGCTTCATAACGCTCACAGTCACATGACTCACTGCACATTTAACATGCAATAACATGCATACTGGATTCTGATTGGCTGGCAGGTATGCATTAAAACTGTTTAATGCACAGGTAGTTCAATGTCAGTTTAATCACCGTTCTATATTAATGCGCTGCTTTTATTGAGAGAGAGAGAACGGAGATCGCGCTGCGCACACAGAAACATTCAGGAGCACAAAAACTTGTTGTAATTCACACACACAGCTGTCATCTCTTTCTTTCTCTCTCGATTCATAATTAATTCAAATAAATGTGATCTTACTGCACTATTTCATCTCTGAGTCTGATTTGAAGCGGGCAGAATGCTAGCACTAACGAGCTGTAACTGATAAAAATAACCGTCATTTTTACACATCCGGTCAAATATTGTGCTGCAAACATCATTAACAGCTTTAACTTGTCAATGCTTGCAAATGACCATGGTATAAGCGGGATAATGCACAGCAAGCTGTGTTATAGTTGTGCGAATCTTTTATACCTGTCCAGGTCATGCTTCCCCCTAAAATCAAATGAGAAAAATATATTTTTATTTTATAATGATATAAAATAGTTGTATTTTACTTTCCTTTTTTAAAGATATTTGTGACCCTGGACTACAAAACCAGTCATAAGGGTCAATTTTTTTAAATTGAGAGTTAATAAGCTGAATAAATGCGCTTTCCATTGATGTATGGTTTGTTAGGATAGGGCAATATTTGGCTGAGATACAACTATTTGAAAATCTGGAATCTGAGGGTGCAAAAAAATCTAAATATTGAGAAAATCATCTTTAAAGTTGTTCAAATGAAGTTCTTAGCAATGCATATTACTAATCAAAAATTAAGTTTTGATATATTTACGGTAGGAAATTTACTAAATATCTTCATGGAACATGATCTTTACTTAGCATCCTAATGATTTTTGGCATAAAATAAAAATGTATAATTTTGACCCATACAATGTATTGTTGGCTATTGCTACAAATATACCCCAGCGACTTAAGACTGCTTTTGTGCTGCAGGGCCACATATTATAATTTTAATAGTATTTTTATATTTTAATTTTATATTTTTAAATTAAGTAAAATTCTAATTATTAAAAATATATAATTTTGAAACTAAGTTGGCTTGAAAAAGCCTAGCCAGAAAGTTTTACAAAGTGTTAAAAGCTTGCAGTCTGAAGGTTTTCAGTTTGAAGTAGTTTGAAATGTAAAATAGTTTTAAAGATTAAAACTTGAATGTTTTCAAGGCAATACAGTCTATCAGAAAAACAGATAGGTTTAAAACATATTGCTAGGGTAACTTGGGTGGTTGCTACGGTGTTTCTAGCATGACTAGCATGTTGCTAACATGTTTCTAGCACGAATAGCATGTTGCTAACATGATTAGCATGTTACTAGCACGTTTCTAGCATGATTAGCATGCTGCTAGTATGTTTTTAACATGATTTAAAGTGCTTTATGGAAAAGGATTATGAAAGGTTCATATTTTGGTTTTGGGAGTCCTCAGCAACAGGTTGACATGCATGCAAGGTCAAAAAACATTTTCATTGTCTTATAATATGCATTTATTTTTACCTTACTTGCTCAACGACTCCCAAACGATTCGCTCAACGATTCATTTTTCCAAACCTCTCCTTTGCGTGACGCTAATCTGTGCTGATTGGTCTCAGTTTCATTTCATCTCGCCTGTAATGCCTGATAAAGCAGCGTTTGTGAGCGCAGTGCTGCTTTGTGTACAGCGTTACCGGGGAAACCGCTATTTTTACCGCCCAAAAAGCGGCACCTAGTGGCAAAGAATGAATTTGCATTTTCATTCAGACCAACGCAAAAAGACCAAGAAGTGTGTGGGCAATATGCTAATGTTTCATGTTGACTTCAACATGAAACAGCTTGGGATTCGTTTTCAAAACGACTCGTTTAAATGATTCAGAGTCGACTCTTTCTTTATAACTTTATACACGGTGCACTTTCAGATTTAAAACTTTGCAGGAAGTTTTCATTCACTTAGAGCTTTGATACACACTGCATGAAAGGTCATTTTCAAAAATCCATAATAGGGGCACTTTAACATCGTAAATGAAAAAATCCAGCTAAAAACAAGGTAAAACCAGCTGATTCGGTAAAGAAAACCGTAAGTTCGATCAGTCTGAAAAGATATAGCAACCCGTGTCAGAACAGTCTGAAGAGCTGGGCTGAGTTTGGTGGTTCTAGCTTGAAAGCTCCTGGAGGAGCAGCGTTCAGAAATTTAGTCTAAGAAGAAGAAGAAGAAGAAGCTTAAATAGAATATCAGTAAGCTAACTTAATAAATTATATTTTGGATGAAATCTTGAAATGTTTTGCATTGTGACAATTGAAACAAGCACATTCAGCTTCAGTTCTTATTGTATCATGTACAGTGTTTATATTATATAATTGTTGAACTGATTTAAATAAGCATGACATGGCAGTGATGAGAATGAGATTTCTGTGCATTACAGTAACTAGAGTTTGATATAAATGTGTCACAATGCAAAACATCTTCATGGTTTAAATGTCAAATATTATAATTAGGGCTGGGTTTTGACACAAATTTCACGATTCGATTCTCATTCACAAGCTTGCGATTCGATTCGATTACCAATTCGATTCGATTCAGTATCGATTATTTTGGATATATATCAGGTACAGTACATGCCAAATGTTCTCAAGGAAAAAAAATCTCTCAACTAATGCTGTAAAATATACACGAAAGTCATTTGGTACTACATTACTATAATATTGAAGGTTAAAATTGACTGATTTGTTAAAATTACATTTAATGAAGTTTTTAAAATAATAAAGTTACAATTAGCTACATAATAATACTTCTACTTCAATTTTTACAAGCTGTTATATTGGCATCTTTGCACGGCTGAAACACTGATTGAGCGATTACATGGGATTGTAAAGTTGTACTCTTTCTTTTAACGTACCTTCGGATGTTTAGTCATGTTTATTTTGTGCTATAACTAGTATTAATTCTTATGATTTAAGAATCGATATCGTTCCGTAAAAATGAGAATCGATTAATATCGAGATATTGATATTTTTTACCCAGCCCTAATTATAATTTATTTCGGTAACACTTTACTTGAAGGGGTGTGCATAAGACTGACAGCACACCCCTTCAAGTAAAGTGTAACCTTTATTTCTTGATGATTTTGGGGTGAAACATGAAGACGAGATCAGAGTTCTTAGATATGCATGAGATGAGAGAGAGACAGACGATCCTGTCTGCAGCTCAAACACTGTTTTTATCCGCCGTCACACTCACAGCATGCATCCATCCTTCTGTCTGTCTGTCTTCATCGGTCTCTCTTTCAGTCAGCATCATGTCACAGGATGTTTGTTGAGTTGTTTGATTCTCTTTATTTTTCACGTGTCATGGATGTTTTGTTTCTCAGCTCCACTTCCTCACTTGACTTCAGATGATGTTGACAAAGCCTTGCAAAACTCCCCGCGGTTAATGCATGCTCGCAATACAGGTAAGCAGCCCTGTGGCCCCGCCCCTGACTCCGCCCCTGGCCCCACCCACACCGCTTACACACACACTTGCGCTGCGCTTCCCCTGCTCTTCTGAATGAGATCAGACTGTCAGACATGGCTCTCGCTGATCTGTGTCTCAGGAGGAGCCAGCTTCATCTTCCCAAACACCTACCCTTCAGACGGCAGCAGAGCAGACGTGAGTTTCCACAGCCGGCGCTCTGGATGGACTCAGCCGGCGTCTGCAGCTAAAGGTCAGTCAGAAGCCCATGTGCTGCACACGTTACGCCGCTGATGCTCACGATTAACCTGAATGTGTGTGTGTTCATTAGTTGCCATCACGAGCAAAACCCAAGAGCAGAGAGCTCAGTTAGGTGAGAACTGCACTCACAAACACTGACTTTATTTTCATATTCTGTTTCCATTTTAATTTTAGTTAGTTTTAGTGATTTTGTCATTCTTAAGTATTTTTGTCTCTATAGTTTTAATAATTTAACACACATCTGATTTCTTTCTCAACTGTTTACAGTCACATACATAATCACTTTGAATTATTTTCACAGCTTGTAAGTCGCTTTGGATAAAAACGTCTGCTAAATGAATCAATGTAAATGTAGCTTAATAACTCTTTTTAACATCATGCACATCCCACACTTTTTTCCTCATTCATGCATGTTTATTACGCTAAATAGTGGGGCTCAATAGTGAATTATGCAGCAGGATCATAAAAAATGCATTATTTTTTTGATTTTGTGTTATACCTAGAACTACCCTCCAGTTCTTTGTGATCGCAGTACAATTAATCGCGATTAATCGTATCCAAAATAAAAGTTTCCCCAACACTGTTTATACTAGAAAACAAGACAAAAATACTAAGAAAATTTTTTTTTGCAGTGTGTGCGCATTGTTAGTAAATCTGCGCTTTTATGGAACTGCGCTCTAACGCTAATTTTCCCTGTTTAGTAAATCTGGCCCTGAATGGACAGCCCTAGTGGTAATATAGTTGAGGTGTGTGTGTGTGTGTGTTTCAGGTTCGGGTCAGATCCAGCTGTGGCAGTTCCTCCTGGAGCTTCTCTCCAACAGCTCCAACTCGTCCTGCATCACGTGGGAAGGAACCAACGGCGAGTTCAAGATGACGGATCCGGACGAGGTGGCGCGGCGCTGGGGCGAGAGGAAGAGCAAGCCCAACATGAACTACGACAAGATGAGCCGAGCCATGCGCTACTACTACGACAAGAACATCATGACCAAAGTGCACGGCAAGCGCTACGCCTACAAGTTTGACTTCCACGGCATCGCACAGGCCCTGCAGCCGCATCCGCCCGACTCCTCCATCTACAAGTACCCCGCCGAGCTGTCCTACATGAGCTCGTACCCGCACCCGCAGAAGATGAGCTTCGTGTCTCCACACACTCAGGCCATGAACGCCGCCTCGTCCGGCTTCTTCGGCGGCCCGGGTCCGTACTGGAACGCTCCGGTGGCGGGAATCTACAGCGGACCGCGACACCCCGCTGCGCACATGCCCTCGCATCTGGGCTCCTACTACTAGACGTCTCAAACATCTCAAGAACACACCAGACTGGAGAGAGCAAACCGTGCGCCGCCGCCGGAGAAAACATCTGCGATCCGCTCGCAGATCCAGGAGTTTAGCGGGAATGTGAAAGTCTAAACGGGGTTGTTAATGAGCCGCTGCATGAGCAAGTACTTATTGGTCTATTTGTGGCCCTGCAGCACAAAAGCAGTCTTAAGTCGCTGGGGTATATTTGTAGCAATAGCCAACAATACATTGTATGGGTCAAAATTATACATTTTTCTTTTATGCCAAAAATCATTAAGATATTAAGTAAAGATCATGTTCCATGAAGATATTTTGTAAATTTCCTACCGTAAATATATCAAAACTTAATGTTTGATTAGTAATATGCATTGCTAAGAACTTCATTTGAACAACTTTAAAGATGATTTTCTCAATATTTAGATTTTTTTGCACCCTCAGATTCCAGATTTTCAAATAGTTGTATCTCAGCCAAATATTGTCCGATCCTAACAAACCATACATCAATGGAAAGCTTATTTATTCATAGATGATGTATTTCAAGAAATTGACCCTTATGACTGGTTTTGTGCTCCAGGGTCACATATGTTCATGTGTGCCTTATTGTACAAACATATCAGAGAGAGTCTGAGAGAAAGAGAGAGAAGGTGAGAGGAAGAGGAAGACAGGACAGAGGTATGAGAGATGATGAAGAATTCTGGCCGTTCACATGAAGGACGATAACGTAGGGCTGCACGATAATGGTTCAACGGTTAATCACGATTATTGTGCTCAAAAAATATAATCACTTAATTTCATCAGATTTATTGCAGTTTCATATAAGCACAGATCAACTTGCATGGATTGCTTGCAGATTTAATCATGTCAAGTCAAGTCACCTTTATTTCTATAGCACTTTTAACAATACAGATCGTGTCAAAGCAGCTTTACAGTATTAAATAGGAAAATAGTGTGTCAATAATGCAAATGCTGAACTCCAACTTGTGTGCTTTCCAGCCGTCACCGCCTTTTCTGTAATTTAGAGAGCGCACTTGCGCATGGTTGCCAGGTTGGGAATAAATTAACCACTAGGGTTTTTTTTTAACAGTTTTACAGTTTTAGTTCTGATTAGCAATTAGGTTTTTTTCCCTGAAGACCTGGCAAACTTGTAAACCACTGGGAAGAAAATGTGTCGATTTCAGAGAAAACGTTTGATTGGATTTAAACACTTTAAACACTTGACATCTGGCAACCGCAACCATGAATGCTTGTTAAGGCTTGTGTCCAATGCAAGATAATGGCAATGTCAAATAAAAATGAATCGTTTACCAAATAAATAACCAGCGGGCGAATATTGCAGACAATTATGCTTAAAATTGAGAGAAGCTGAATTGGTGATCATGATTAAAATACGATTCATCGTGCAGCCCTACAATAATGATAAAGTGAAAAAAAAAAATAACAATGCCACAACTAAAACAATAATGACACAAATGCACAATATTGTTGGAATCACTTTCACAGTGATTTTTTTTCCAGCTGATGAACGATAAACACATTGACAGCCAATCAGAATCCACTCAACCTTAAAGAGCTCCAGCATTTAAAGTGACAGACGATAAAACTGCAGTGTTTATAATAAACAGAAGATTATCGTGCATCAGTGAGAACGCTAATATAGTTATTGTTCTTGATGTGAACAGGCCTCTTGCCATATTTATCAGTATTATGTCGTTCGTATGGCATCAGAGATTGATATTTGCCTTAAAAACGACATCTTTGTAGAAAACTGGAATCTTTCAGATGTTTTAATGACCTCAAACCTTTACAGACGAGGTGCATATATATGAACCAGTGCCTTACAGAGAGAAACAGATTTACCAAAGATACCAGTATTTGTATTATTATTAATTATTATGACTATGATCCGAGTCGCAAACGCTGTGCGTTTGTTAGATTGAAGTATACAATTCAGTGTATTAATTCTTTTTATATAATTGATATATAACTTATGCATTTAAACACTACGAGTTGATCTCAGCCAGCCGAACAGACATGTAATCAGAGACGTAGAGATACGGAGCGTGGCGTGATTCTCTGTACAGTGAACACGTGTGTGTTAGACTGACGCTGGCTCAAACCGACTGAACCCAGATCACATCAGTTCAGTCACAAGCCCTGATGCTCTGAGATTGTTGACAAAGGGAAGAAAACATATATTTGGATAAATTATATGGTTTTCTACTGAATCATTTTAATAAACTATTTTCAACAACCGTTTTCTAATTGTTTTGAGTAAAGAAACGCCCTCATTGTCTGATGGAGCTTTATAAACAGACTAGAGACTGTTGCCCCAACACACACACACGCTCAAACACACACACACAGACACACACGCTCAAACACACACACACAGACACACACACACACACACACACAGAGACACACACACACAGAGACACTCACACACACACACACAGAGACACACACACACAGAGACACTCACACACAGAGACACTCACACACAGAGACACACACACACAGACACTCACACACAGAGACACACACACACACACACACACACACACACACAGAGACACACACACACACACACACACACACA